TCTGACGGAACTCTATTCAGTGGTTTATGAGTTTATTCCGAACAACGAAAACGGCTATCATTTTATCCAAATAAATATGTAGATAGGACAGCTTATACACGGTCAAAAATTTGGGTTTAATGTTTAAACCGCGCTGGGACTACTGCCTTTTTTAAACTTTTATAGTCTACTTTTTAAACCAGTCAATAGTTTTACGCAATTTTTAATATATTCTGGTTTAAATTTTAGCCCAAAAAGTTCGTGGTTTTAAAATCAAACCAAAATGTTTTAATTCTAGTTTCTAGGTTTCATATATAGAAAATTTGGTTTAAAATCTAAACCGAAATAGAATATGTTTGCACAGCGAATTGTGGTGTTGATTCAAACTCAACATATAAAAGCACATTTACATGCGTGGCTGTAGCTGAGTGTGCAAAGATGCTTGATACAATTGGTTGCTACCAAGGCTGTCTGTCCGGGTTCAATCCCAACCATTCTTTGTGAAACATTTAAAAAAATTCTTCAAAATTTTCACATAAATACAATAGCTCAATGGGATTTAGAAATCTAGGACAAAATGGTTCCCAATCGAATGATACTTGCGCGTTTACGTAAATGTATATCGATCCAGCCTTTCCAATAATTACCACTTTTCGCCATAACTACGGTATTGATAACATATGTAGCTGTGTAGAATTTCAGGACGTTAGCGTAAGCAGTTCCAGACATAAGCTATATGAGAAGTTCAGTTTGCATGGAAGGAAGGAGCCACGCCCCCTTTCCCAATGCATTTGCAATATATGCATCAGTGCTAAGTTTCAGTTCCCCAGCGTAATTGGTTTTAGTGATATATTGGTTTTTTACGTTTTAGTCTGTATAAGAATTTTAGGAATATCCCGAGCTACATACCGAGTAAATTTTTGGTCAGAATATTTATTTTCATCATGTTGCCAAATATGAACCAAGTCGATGCAGCCGTTTAGTAGTTTAGTGAAATGCATTGTAAAGAGAACTGTATGAAATTGTAAAACGTGACGTCTCAGATTTCTTAATTTTTTGGCAGCAACAACGAAAAGTTTTAATTTTTTTTAGCGAAAAACCTTCCACACAGAAATAAAAAAAAATTAAGTTTGTGGTTATATCAAGGCGAAATTTTGAGAACGGTGCGTTGCTAACTCTAAATATAAACAACGACGCACTGGAAAAAGTTAATACGTTCAAATACCTAGGAATAATGATCGACGATAAACTAAAACAAAAAAAAAAATGGATTCTATATTTTCAATTAGAGCTCTAGCAAAATGGCATTTAATTCCATACATTAGCTTTTGCGTGATGCGCTTGCAAACATACAGACAAACATACCGAAATTTTAGATTTGGCTTCTGTTGATCTAATAAACCCCCTATTAATTTTTCTTTAACATCTATTATGTACAGATATCGGCCTGTTGCAATTTTATTATTCTCAAGTACTCTCGTTTGATACCCATATGGCAACACTTAGTTTATATAGTAAATTTAACTGAATTAAAGTTTTCAAATAAGTGGCAACCCGCTTCAAGAATATTTTCAAAAGTAAGCTTCCTAATCCTCTTTAGTTTAATATTCGTATTGCAATATTTCATTTATTTTACAAATTTCAATGAATACAATTTTTCAATCAGTTGGCAAATCCCCTAAAAATATTTTCAGGATTAAAATTTCCTATCGTCTTTAGTTTGATGCCAATATTGCAATATTTAATTTATGCTATCAATTATATTAAATTAAAGTTTTCAAATAGGTGGCAACCTTCCACAAACATATTTTCAGCTGTAGGCCTTTGTAAATTTCTTTCATTTGACAGCCATATTGCAGTATTCACATTACCGTATCAATTGACCTAAACTGAAATTTTAAACACAGGTGGCAACTCTCTAATTTTTTCTTCTATATTGGAAGCTAAATCTCTAGCGATACAACGGTGAAAACTGCATTCAATTCCATGCTTTCGACTGATGCGCGTACAAATATACAGACAGACAGATATTCAAAAATTCTAAGAATTGTTTATTTGGCTTCTGTGGCTTTAATAAAAACCCACCATATTAATTTTTCTTTAATATCTATAAGGTACAGACATCGACCTGTTACAATTTTATTATATGTATATATAGATGTAGATATAGATTTCATTTATTTTATCAATTTAATACAATAAAATTTTTCAAACAGGTGGCAGCCCTCCCTAAAACCATTTTCGGCAATAAAATCTCCTAAACCCCTTCAGTTTGATACCCATCTTGCAATATTCAATTTATCTCATAAATTAAATTAAATGTAAATTTTCAAACAGGTGGCAACTCTAAAAAATATTTTTGGCTGTAAGCCTTCTTCAGCCTCGTTCTTTTGACGCCCATATTGCAATATTCATTTTTTCTTATCAATTTACTTAAACTCCAATTTTCAAACAGGTGGCAACTCTCTAATTTTTTTCTTCCTATATTTTAAGTTAGACCTCTAGCAATACATCGGTGAAAACTGCATTCAAATCCATGCATTGGTTTTCGAGTGATGCGCGAACGAACATACAGACAGACAGACAGACAGACAGACAAAAATTCTAAAAATGGTTGATTTGGCTTCTGGTGCTCTAATAAAGACCCCCCACATTAATTTTTCTTTAATATCTATAATGTACAGACATCGACCTGTTACAATTTTATTATAAGTATAGATAACAAATATGAATTTCTTGTGATATGTATACATACATAATTACCAAGTTTAAAACTAAGTTTCTTGGTAAAATAATAAAATTTGTTTTGAGTTTTTAAAAAAATATTCGGCGTATAAACTTACTGCAGTGTGCACAGGGTACTGTCCCGGTGGGGTACACGTACGGTTACCATCCGACCTTTATTTTAAAGGACAGTACTTTATTTTAACCCCCTGTCCTTTATAATTATTTTCAAAATAAAGGATGCCTTTTGTCCTATGTTTCTTAATCTGTCCTTTAAATCGTCTCTGCATTTTTCAGAGATAAATTTTTAAACGCAGAACATGAAAAATAAAAATGTCGCTTATAAAATATAATGAAAACCTTCGCCAGTTTGTTTCGCACCTCACTTAAGGGTTTCGGTTTAATCCGTAATCTTTGTACAATCTATAAAGCACAGGGAAAGTTGTGCCCAGGATCGTGTTGCACGCTAAGTTTCCAGTTCCACTGAAAGAGAACAATAAACCCCTTGCTGCACAGTGGTTCGAAACTGGCATTTAGTGTTCGTATTTCACTGGAGCCTTAATTTTTCACTTAGTTTGAATAATTTTACTTTTTATTTTTTTTTAAAGCTTACGATATTTGCAAGAGACTAGTTGAGCCTGATTTCTGAACTTTTATTTGATCATACCAAATTTTTTAGTGCAAAATGCAGATAAAGTAGCAATTTTGAAGAAAATGTATTCTCCTGTTCCAGTTAATAAATGTTACATAAAAAAACTAGTTGAAAACAATTGCATGGTTCTCCCAAAACAAAAAAAAATACACAAACAAAATTTTGAAATGTTATAAAAAATGTTCACCAAGATAAATATTTTTTTGGTTTGTAGTAAAAATTGGTTGAAAAATAACGGCTCCGGTGCATTATGAACATGAAATTCCAATTTTGAACCACTGTGTGCTAGCTTCGTCGTGCAGTATGAATTATGGTAAACGCATTTCGGTAGCAAAAGATGGCGAAGTCCTTGAAAAGGATTTAGATTTGGAATTAAATAATATAATTAACTGGTAAATATTTTATTTAAATTACGATATGGGTAAGGTATTTTCTCATACAAGTTGTATGTACGTATTCCCAAATCATTTTGAAAAAAGGCCCCTATTTTACGTTGGTTAATTGGTCACCGTAGGTACATGCCGAAATGATTGTATTGCCCTGCAACAGGTTTTGTCGCAGTTGCCATGACACTGGCTCAAAAGAGACAGTCGAACACTTACTGTGCGAATGTCCAGCCCTCGCAAGGATGAGGCTTAAGACACTCGGCAAGCCATTTCTGCAGAATGTTTAAGAGTGCAGCTGTCTCCCTCTGTAGGACGTACTCAAATTCATTAATGCCGCCAAATGGCTGTAGGTTGTACGAGATGTGGAATCAAAATGGCAAAGTTACTAATAGCTTGTCACCACTAAAACCAACCAAACATTCATCTGAACCACTATAAAACTGTCAATGTTTCTATTTCCACAAGATTGTAACTGTCTGCTAAATTATAAACTAAATAAAATACATTTGTTATTTATTTTTGTACCGGCAATAAAATATTAGGAACATATTTTTAATTGCATATTTTACTTGTTTATAGCGCATATTTTTGAATGCATATTATATGCACATATTTTCAATTTTTTAGTGCATGAGATTCCGAGCCCTATTAATAACTTTAATAGGAAAATTCGTATGCCAAATTAAAAAATAAAAATGGGAAGGAAACATCATCAAGCTGCATTAGCAAGTGCGAGCAAATAAGTAAAATCCAAAAAATTTCGAATAAAGTTTTATTTTTTATAATGAAGTTTATTTTTTTATAAAATTTTAATAGATTTGATCTTAAATGTCCAAAGCAGTATTAAATTTATATAATAGAAGTTCCGGGTTCGGTGCCGTTCCGATCGGTTAACTAAGGCGAACAATGGTAAGCCTAAAGATATATATGTGCCACGGACAAGGTCCTCAGATATGGGCGAAGAAACTTTAAGTTCCTCCCTTTGTATGGCGGTCTCGAGAGGCATGCATCAAAGTAGAGGAGAAGTTCGGTATATTTCTCATGCAATGGCTTCAATCTGAAACCTAAAAATTCATGCTTTATATAATTTTTTTACTTTACATTCACAAACAATAAATACATACTTTAAACTAAGTTTTGAATCGCATTTTCTTAATGTTAATTATAAGTAACTTCTAATTCTCGTTTTAACAACACTTATATGTTCCTCATACTAATACCGATATATCAAAATTTATATGCTCTTCCTTAAGGCAACCGCAAATACGCGCGGATTTCTATAAACTGTACAAAACCCCTTAAGAGACGCAATTTGTTTGCGGAAAAATTTCGGTAAAGAAAAGTACATAATTCAGCGAGTAAAGAGGGCTCAAAGTTTCAAAATTAAAAACTTCGCTTAAGAATTGGCGTTTGAGCAAGAATTGATGGATTAGGGTGCGTTCACATAGAAAGCCAAACGGTGCCGAGCGAAGAAAGGCGGGGCGAAGCGAACCTCCAGGTGTTCACACTGAACGAGGCGCCGCGGAGCTTTTTGAATGGATTCGACTACCACAAAACTTACCGTTAGTGAAAAGCTGCAAAAATAATTGCTCAATTTTGTTCAAAAGACTAGTTAAAAAAATTCGTTCATATTTAAATATTTTGATATATTTTTTGCTGCAGCGTCATGAAAAATAAAAATCAAATAGAAAACTCAAAACTGCTTTGCTTACAGCTCCAAAACGCTTCTTAAAAAGCATGCTGTATGAACACTTTCAAATCAATTACAGCAATTGAAAGCTTGACTCCGCTTGGAACGGCTTCACTCGGCTCGGCTCCGCTTTCTGTGTGAACGTATCCTTAGATCATCAAAACTTTCTCATTGCCACTAACTTAGTACCAGAAGAAAAAGCGAAAACATTTTAATCAAGTCGGTGAAAGTATTTCACACGAACATCTGACGCCCACCGATACAAAAACTATACTCCCAAACAAAGCGTTAACATAATGTTAAGTTCGCTCGATGCTTTAGCCGGGAAAATATCACCTGGTTCTGGTAAGAATAGTCCGCCCCAGCAGACACAGCCACAACAGCATCAAAGCAATAGCAACCAGACATCAGCGACGCATATTGCACAGCAACAACTACAGCAGCAGCAATCGACCACCATTACCTGCCAATTACAACAACCACACCTGCCAGCGACAAGAGAACAACACCAGCGTTTCAATGGGAATCACCATAATGCACTGGATAGCAACTGCAATAAATTATGTCACATCAGTCACAACAGCACACACCCATACCAGAAACAATTGCCTGCTCAACACAATCAACAACAAATGCAAAACAATTGTCAGCAGCAGCAAGAATTGCAACAACAGCAACATGAGCTGTTCCAGCAGCATCAAACATTTCTACTCCATCCACAGCTATCGCCAGAGGAATCCGATCCACAGCTGGATTTCCGTAGTTGCCTGAAGGAGAAGTAAGTATATCATAAAATGAAATATTAATCAAAACAATTGGCCTCTCTCCAAATAAACATTTCCTAGCACACACTTGCATACGAATACCAAAGTATTTACCCCAAATATTTTGTATGTTTTAATGACTTTCATAAATTCTTAATTTTGCTTGCAAAACAGCTAAAGTAAGGGTATGCAACGTAATTTTGCAACGATACTCGTCAGAAGAAAAAAAAAAAATTTATTTATTTATTAAAACAAGTAAGAAAGTCTAAATTCGGGCGGAGCTACATGGTAAGCCGGGGTGTATCAATTTTGGGTAAATCAGCGTCCTTAAATTTCGAAATATTGAAGTTTCAAACATGTCTGAAATTTACCGTTATATGAAAAGTCCGAAATTTTAGTCCGATTTCAATAATTTTCAAAGTTTTGCCTTTATGTGGCAAGCACAATAACCATACCGAGTTTGGTACAAATTGGTACAACGGTTACCGAGATATGTGATCATAAGTGGGCGGTGCCACGCCCATTTTCCAAAATTTTATCATAAATGTATTTCTTGGTAAAGAATTGTTTCAGGCATCAATTTTTGATAAATTAGCTTTAATATTTACTGATTTATCGAAGATTTCGTATTTCTCTAAATTACCGATATCGCCCACATCCCATGGGCGTAGTTATTTTCGGCCATTTCGTATGTTGTACCAAAGCTAACAACTGTGCCAAGTTTGGAAGAAATTGGTGCGGCGGTTACCAAGATATACACATGTAACCATAAGTGGGCGTGCCTACGCCCATTTTCAAAAAATTTATAATCTTTTTTTCCTCTAAAACTTATTGTAAATATCAATTTTGAGTGAATAATCTTCAGTAGTTACTCAAATATCGCAGTTTTCGTATTTCTGAAAATTACCGTTATATGGGAGGTAGTCGTGGTTATTGTCTGATTTAGCCCGTCCTACGCCCGAAAGAAGTGCAGTTACCAAATTTCGTTATGATATCTCAATTTTTACTCGAGTTATCGTGTACACAGACGGACGGGCAGACGGACGGACGGACAGACAGTCACCGCTTAATCGATTTCTCTTTTCATTCTGATCATTTATGTATATCTATCTCGATCTATATCTATCTCGATTCGTTTTGCCTGTTACAAACAACCGTTATGTGAACAAAGTTGTAATACCCTTGTGCACAAGTGCGCTCGGGTATAAAAAAATTAATAAACCATTAAAAAAGCTAACTCCGTTTTTAGGTCTGATCTATTATTTTTTATTGCCCAAATAATAGACATAAGAACGATTATAAGAAATGTAAACATAACAAAACTGTCAAAGCTAAACTTCAAAATGGGGGGGATTGCCAGATGAATGTACGTAACCAATAGTTATTCAAGATACGAACCATCATATCGGTATAGACACGAATTGACATGGCCACTATGAAAACGCGCACACTGACATACGATAAAAGAATCGGTGGTCACATACCACGAGACTAGAAAAATATCTTTCTTTTTTGGAATTGGACAGGGAGCGAACCACACTCATCAGCCCTCGCAAGAACGGAATTACAACCAAGTAATTAACGTGTATTAAAAGCTGGCGACATTCGGGGAGTCGATACTCACCCCTCAGTGGAAATTAATAGAGGCAAAAGGTGCCGTCACATTCCTTCCGGCAAATCCCCAGCCATGTTGTTGCGTAGAATAAAGAAGTTGTGAGCATCAAATCTAGACTATTTATTTGACAGCAATTGAGTCACCATAAGCCGGTAACACAAAATCATTATACGTAAGTCAGCCACTTTTTTGCCACCATCCATTGGACACGAGCTATCCATCAACCGTAAATAAAGATTCCTGTTTGGACCGACAAATCAAGGTCAAGCAAATCATTGGCGCCCAACTAAACGGGTGAAAAATAATAAGTTTTCGTTGAACATAACCACACTTAAGCCCGGCATAAAATAACCACGTGCTCAGCTGAGGGAAAATAGCAATGTCATCATCGAATCAATTTAATACATCATAGAATTCGATTTAAGGAAAAATTAAAATCTTGTAGTCGTTTTTCTCATTTTGTTGGTCACAAAATTGTACGTCAGTGAAACATACATATTCGAGTTTAATAGATTTTTTTCCACAATTTTATAATGAGCTCGAGGCCATTTTTAAATGAAAAATTTATTGTGGAAAAGCAACAACAATTTGAAAAAATGGTAGAAGTGATAGCTATTTCGGAAATCACCACATTTCCTCATCAGACTTCTTTCAGTAGGATTCGAACCGACGATCCCACTGACTCAGCCAGTTGCCCATGCACCG